TGATTCTAAAATGAAATGAGTATCCTAAGTAGGATAGTCAGCCCTGGCCGGTGTGGCTCAGCAGTTAGAGCACTGGACTGAGGACCAAAGGGTGGTGGGTTCGATTCCTGGTCAAGGGCATGTACCTGGATTGCAGGTTCCATCCCCGGCCCTGATTGGAGTCATGTGGGAGGCAACCAATCGATGTGTCTTCCTCACATCGATGCTTCTCTCTCCCTCTCTCGCCCCCTCCCTCCATCCCTCCCACTCTCTAAAAAACAATGAAAAAATACCCTCGGGTGAAGATTAACAACAACAAAAAAGCAGAATAGTCAAGAAATTCCTGAAGACAGTGGTCAGTGAGAGAGCCGAGCAGGTCCTGGGATTTGGTGTGAGGCACAGTGATTAAGTTCCTGTGTATTGGTTCAGGGACAGACAGACAGACCAACAGAGGCCAGAGAGAGCCCTGTAGGCGAGGACACTGAGGGAGGACAGCTAAGTCCCAGGAAAGAGGGGCCGGAATGGGGCCAAAGGAAATCCAGTGGAAACAAGGACCAGGTGACCTGGGCCACAAGGACAAGGTGACCTGGACGAGGTGACCTGAGCAACAAGGACGAGGTGACCTGGACCACAAGGACGAGGTGACCTGGGCCACAAGGACAAGGTGACCTGGATGAGGTGACCTGAGCCATAAGGACGAGGTGACCTGGGCCACAAGGACGAGGTGACCTGGGCCACAAGGATAAGGTGACCTGGATGAGGTGACCTGAGCCATAAGGACGAGGTGACCTGGACCACAAGGACGAGGTGACCTGGATGAGGTGACCTGAGCCATAAGGACGAGGTGACCTGGGCCACAAGGACGAGGTGACCTGGGCCACAAGGACAAGGTGACCTGGATGAGGTGACCTGAGCAACAAGGACGAGGTGACCTCGGCCACAAGGACAAGGTGACCTGGACGAGGTGACCTGAGCAACAAGGACGAGGTGACCTGAGCCACAAGGACGAGGTGACCTGGGCCACAAGGACGAGGTGACCCGGGCCAGAAGGACAAGGTGACCTGGACACAGGGCATGGACCTCCAGCAAGGGGCAGTGGTCGGCTAAGGTTGTGGGCTCTTTAAGTTCAAGGAGGAGCACAGGGACATGGTGGGGTGATGCAAGGCATTCGGGGAAGACCTTCAGGGTCCCCTAAGACCCCAGCCTCACCGGGACACAAGGACAGATCCAGGATGGTTGGGGTTTATGCCAAACAGCCCTTAGGCAGGCTGGGAAGTGGAGGTCGTGTTTGCCTTAGTGACCCTGGCTCTTCGGTCTGGCCTCTCTCCTCAGTCTCCCCGACTCCCGTGACCTTAACCCTTCTGAGGCCGCGGGTCAGTCGTATCTTTATCGCCCCTCCTCTGAGTCTGCCTGGCGCGGGGTCACGCGTCTCTGGCCCGGGCTCGGTCAGCCAGGCTGCATCAGAGCAGAGAGGATGTCACACTGGCCTCTGCCCGGCTCCTGGCCAAGGGCTCCTGGAACCTGGTCATTTCCTGAGTGGTCAAGGTGCCAGCAGCCTGCTTGGTTCTGGTGTTTGGTCTTTTACCTCATCCCTGGCACAGGGTTCCTGCCGTGCTTGGGACTCCCCGGGTGATAGGTTGTCTTTGTCTGATGAGGTGACTCTGGGTGGCTAATGGGGGGTGGTCACCAGGACGACCAGGCTGCAGCCACAGGCTTAGAACTCTCAGCCCAGAGAGCGGCGAGGGGCCAGGTCACCTCGTCCTTGTGGTGCCGTCACTTTGTCCTTGTGGTGCCGTCACTTTGTCCTTGTGGTGCAGGTCACCTCGTCCTTGTGGCCCAGGTCACCTCGACCTGTGGTCCAGGTCACCTCATCCTTGTGGCCCAGGTCACCTCGTCCTTGTGGCCCAGGTCACCTCATCCTTGTGGCCCAGGTCACCTCGTCCAGGTCACCTCGTCCTTGTGGCCCAGGTCACCTCGTCCAGGTCACCTCGTCATTGTGGCCCAGGTCACTTTGTTTTGTGGTCCAGGTCACCTCGTCCTGTGGCCCAGGTCATCTGGAAACAGAGTAATAATTGATCATGCCTACGCAATGGCGCTGCACTCAAACCCCAAAAGTACAGGGGGTAGGGGGTCCAGAGAGCTTCCCATGTGAACACATGGGATGGGGGGAGAGCGGCACCTGAGTCCCCCACACACCCTGCCCCCGACCTCTCCCACCTGGCTGCGCATCCGCACCCTGTACTGTACCCTCCTGGGGCGCACAGTCACTGTCCCCCTGGGCTCTGGGGGCAGCTCCAGCACATTAACCAAACCCAAGGGGTGTCGTGGGAGCCCTCGATTGACAGCTGCTCGGTCAGTCAGAAGCCCGGGTGACCGACCACCTGGAGGTGCGGTTGGCACCTGGCGTGGGCAGTCTGGTGGGCCCGAGCCCCTGCCCTGGGCTGGGACGCTGTCTCCAGGTGCAGCGCATCACAGCCGAGGGAGATCGTGGACGCCTGCTGGGGCTGCAGACTGTCGGTGGGGAACCCTGTCTGTGCTGGGCCCTCCTGCTGACTCACTTATTCATCCCAGTGCGGACTGTGGTTTCCTGTTCCCTCTGCGGCTCTAACCTTCACGAACCCTGTACTCGCACCGCCTCCGACGGGCCGTGCTGGGGCCCGGGACGGTGGGCTCTGCCCTCACCACTCCCTCGGCAAGTCCTCGCTCCTGATACCAGGCGGTCCGGGCACCTCGTCCCCGCGGTCCAGGGCTCTTTGTCCCCGCGGTCCAGGGCACCTCGTCCCCGTGGTTTAGGGCACCTCGTCCCCGTGGTTCCCTTGTCCCCGCGGTCCAGGGCACCTCGTCCCCGCGGTCCAGGGCACCTCGTGCCCGCGGTCCAGGGCACCTCGTCCCCGCGGTCCAGGGCACCTCGTCCCCGCGGTCCAGGCGCCTCGTCCTTGCAGACCCAGCTTCAGACGTCCCCTGGACAAGCCATTTCCCCAGCCACCCCGAGTCCGGTTCCTGTGAATGACATCGAGGAGCCGACACCTGTCCCGTGGGCTTGTTGCTCTCGGGGGTCTGCAGTGGGTCGGCCCCACTGGAGGGTCTGGGGGGCGTAAGGCTTCTTCCAGCTCCATTGGTGTGTGGTACCCCCTTCATCCCTCCATCCTTGTCACTGGCACCATCAGCTTCAACGTATTTGCTCGCTGGACCAGTCGGCCCCTGGTCGCCCCTCCCGTGGCCGCTGGGGGCAGGCGGAGAGGCCAGGGGAACGGCAGGGGGTCCGTTCAGCCACTCGCAGGAGAATCTACTGAACGGCCCGCGTGCAGGCCCCGCGTGAAGGAAGTGAGCACGGGAGCGGAGACGGGGAGGCCTTCGAGGGTACCCCTGACCCAGCACGGACCCTGCTGGGGCGACAGCCCTCTCCTGAGCCCGCTGGGGTGGAGGCCGGCGTCGCGGGGGTCTGGAGGTCTGGCCTGCTGCCCGGGAGTGGACACACACCTGTCAGCTCAGAGCGCCCAGCTGGCTGCCAGGCGAGCGCACCGGACGCCCCAGAGCCCCCAGACCCCCCATCGAGTGCATCTCCCTCACCCCTGCCGGGCAGCCCGCCAGCTGCCGGCCCCAAAGGCGTCAGGAAAAGGAGCAAAGCCCAACCCCTCGGGATCCGCAGCCCGTGTGCCCTGGGCCCGGCAGCCCTGCCCAGCATAGTCCAACCCGACCACCAGGGGCTCCTGCCCGCCCTGGTCCCCTGCAGGCTGGTCCTGACACTCCGCACAGACCATCTCCGAAGGCTGAAGCACACAGGTCCCTGCTGGCTGGTCCCTGGGCCTTGGGCTGTGACCCACCACCTGAGACACAGAGCCCCCCCGCCCCCCCGAGCTGCACTGATGCCCCCTCAGGGTTCCTGCTCGGCCACAGCCCGCCCCCCACCAGGGCGCTGAGCGCACAGGGGCCCCTCGCCTGCCTCCCTGCCCCCCCCCCCCCGGGTTAACCTCCGACCTGGGCCGAGTCACGCCCCCTCCTTGGAGTCCCAGAGTCCCAGGAAGCCCTGCACCTTCCCTGTCTTAGTCACCAGACACGTCTTCAGAGACGGGTCCCCCTGGGCGGTGAGCAGAGCCCAGCTCTGGGGACACCTCAGCCCTGGTCTCCTGCACAGCCCAGCCCACGGGCGCGACCTGGACCCTGGACGGGCAACCTCAGCTGTTACCGTGTGGCCGAGTCGAGCTGATCTTCACAGCGACCCTGAGGAATGCGAAGGCCCTACCCCCGCGTCACAGGGGAGGCAGCAGGCAGGAGGCCCCGCCAGGTCCCAGGCGCCCAGAGGGATGGGGGCGCCCAGGTGCAGAGCCCCCCTGGTTTGCTTCGCTCGAACCTTCAGCCTGGTGGGCAGCGGGGCTCATGCCCCCTTCCCTTCCTTCCATTCCAAGGGAGCACCTCCACCAGAAGGCCCCCAGGTCCCGGCTTGCAGAGTGGACAGACCTCGTGGGTTGGGGAGCAAACTTCCACCAGCAGTCAGCGGGATGCGACCCCGGAGTCCTGTCTGAATGGGGTCCCAACACCTCCAAAGCACACCCCACCCCAACTGTGTCTGCCCAGGCAGGGGCCAGAAGGCAGAGCCGGTCAGTGCTGGGCAGGACTTTTATTGAAAATTCACAGGTGCAGGAGCTCTGAGTGGGGTCACAGCTTGGAGGAGGCTGGATCAAGGAAGATACAGGGAGTCCCCAGATGCCGGCAGCCCCCCATACTGGGAAGCTCCCACAGAAGCCCTTCTTGCTGGGTGTCAGGTCAGAGGGACCCAGGAGGTGGGTGGGGGCACAGGAGGGCCAGGTGCAGCAGCCCAGGGAGAAACCACGGACCCCGAAGCAGGCGGAGGACCAGGAGGTGGAGGGACGGCCCGCGGGGAGCTGAGGCCCCTCGTACGGAGCTTCTGCCGGCCGTGCTGCTGCTTCGCAGCTTCAGGGGGCCCCGGGCCGACGCCCCGCTCTGCCGGACCGCGGCCTCCGTGTCGCGTCAGTCATGAAGGGAACCTTCCCGGAGGACGCGCTGTCGCAGGCCGGCGGAGGGGCCTCAGTAGTCGGAGAGCGGGTACCGCAGGAAGATGAAGACCAGCACGATGCAGGAGGCGGCCAGGGCGGAGCTGGTGATGTTGAACAGCCGGGCTGTCTTGGCGTCCTCCACCGCCCCGTTCAGGTCGTTGAGCAGCTTCTTGTCCCTAACCTGCAGCCACAAAGGAGAGGTGAGCGGGGTGGACCCAGGCCGGTGGGCGGGCCGGAGGGCAGCCGGCAAGGTGCAGGGCGGTGGGAGCTCCCGCCCTGGCAGCAACTGCGGGGCCGCAGGACAGTGTCCTCATGGGCAACAGGCCGACGTGTCCGAGGCAGGGCACTGTTGCCCCAGCGTACCCTCAAACAGTCTATACAACAAATAACGTCATCTCTAGAGGGAGAAAAAGAAAAGGCGAGTGTGGTAGAATGTTAACTGTGCGGCGTCCGGGGGAAATGCACACAGGGATTCTTTGTGTTTGTCTAGTCTGAAATTATTTTTAAGAAGCACCTGGCTGAGCCCTGGCTGGCTTGGCTCAGCGGTTAGAGCGTCGGCCTGCGGTCCAGAGAGACCCGGGTTCGGTTCCCGCTAAGGGCACGTACCTCGGTTGCAGTTTGTCCCCGGCCCTGGTTGGGTTGGGCGGGTGGCAGCCACTCGATGTGTCCCTTTCACGTTGATGTTTCTCTCTCTGTCTCTTCCTCTCTCTCCCTCCCACTCTATCTGAACAAAAAATGGAAAAATGTCCTCGGTGAGGATAAAAAAATAAATAAGCACCTGACTGATAATACTATTCTGTCCTTGAAAGTGGCTGAAAGAGTAGATCGTACGTGTTCCCACCACCGAAATGATAACAATAGTCATCAAAGGTGGTTATGGCACGTGACGGTGATAGGAGCTAAGCCTGTGGCAATCATCGCGCGCCGCCGCACACCTGAGCCCGCAGTGTCACGCGTCAGTGACAGACATCTCCATAAAGCCGGCAAAGAGCTAACTGGACAGGGGAAGAGGAAGTTGGTCTCAGGGAGGGAACACCACGGGGCAATGAGGCGACACATGCGTGTCCAAATGAACTGGTCCCAGCTCATTTCAAATGAGCCGGGGTTCCGAGGATGGACCCTCGGCATGGACAGGGGAGCGGCAGCCCCGAGGGCTCTGGGAAGGGGGGCTGAGGTGAGGGAGGGGCTGCCGCTCGGGGCGTCCTGAGCGGCAGTGGGCAGCAGTGAACCTGAGAAGCGGGAGGATCTGAGGACCCCCCCGCCCCAGGCCCTCTCCTTCCACAGAAGCCAAGGAAGTGCAGGACAGAGCTGTGTGCAGGAGGAGAACATCTTTGCTTTGGTAGATTGGTGGATGGACAAATGGACACAGGCAGGGGCTGGCTTGGAGGTGGACACAGAGTTGGTGGACTCACTGACATCAGGGTGGGTTAGACAGACGGACGGGAGATCAGAAGAGGAAAGATGGACAGACAAAGACTAGACAGTCAGCTGGTGCGGGGGGCACAGAGATGGGCAGAGGGTGGGAGCGTGGCCAGGGGGTGGATTTCTGCGGGTGCAGCGATGGACCAGGAAAACGAGCAGGCCCCGAGGAGTCAGGGAAGGGAAGGAGGAAGGTCTGTGCCCATGTGGGGTTTTTATTCTACTGATTTGGGAGAGAACTGACATCTCACTGAATTTTTTCCTTTCTGAGAACATGATAATCACTCACTTATTTAGGTCTCATTGGTTAAAATAAATGTTACTCTTTTCTCTAGAAAGAGCTAGTGTATCTTTTGTCAGATTTTGTCTTTGTCTGTTTTGGTGGTTGTTATATTGTAATTTGGTTGTTGTTAAAAAATTACATTTGTACTTGATTTCTGCTGGTGTATAAAAACTCGACTGACTTTTGCAGATTGATTTTGTATCCAGCTAAACCATTATAATTAACGGTGGCAATTAACCAAGTTTTCTATGTAATAAATCGTATGTGCTGTGAATAACAGTTCTATTTCTTCCTTCGCATCCTCATTCCTGGTCCCCGAACCTGACTTTGCCTCGGGGGTTTGTAACACCTGCTCCCTTGGCCTGGAACCTGCCACCCCAGATGCACTGTGGAGACACAGTCCACTCAGGCTTACGCTGAAACACCATCTCGTCCCAGACGCCTTCCTTGCCCACCCTACATAAAACAGCACCCCCGCATCTCCCTGACCTTGCTTCATTTATCCTTCATAGCCGACATCACCCCCTGACATGTACAACTGTGAGCTGTACTAGTGTCCGACGCCCCACCGGACTGCAGGCTCCGTAGGGGCAGGGACTGTGTGCTCCTTGCCGCTCGTTTGGCATGGGGCAAGTCTTCATTGCATGGGGAATAAATGCACGAGTCCTGGAGGATGCTAGTAAGCTTGAACGAACTAATGATTGGGTGATTGACGAGCTAATCAATGAGTGGACGTGGTGGTTATATATGTGTAAGAAAGGACAGAGAGGGAGAGAGACCGCAGGCATGATCACCAGCGTGAGGTGAGAGGGATGACGATAGAGATGGGGACACTGATGGGTGGAGGCGAGTGAGGAGAGACGGGAGGAGAAGCGGAGATGGAATAAGCCCACGATTGGGGTGTGGGTAAACCAGGCGGAAAGGGTGGGAGGAGGGCTCAGGTGGAAAGACGGGGGACAGGGCAGGAACAGGGTGACAGTTAGACAGAAGGGTTCGTAGAAGGCAGGGGAATGTGAGGGTGGGTAAGTGGGTAGAAGAAAGAGGAAAAAGAAAGGTGAGAATGTGGATGGATGTGGGAATGGAGAGGTAAATGACCGGACGTTGATAGTAGAAGTGATGAAATAAAGAAAAGATGAATGGATATGAGGAGAAAATGAGGTCCAGGAAGTATGAAATAGTTTGGTAAACAGGATAAAGAACGGAAAACTGAGAAGAAGAGAGCAGATAAATATATTTTCATCAATGTGTGGATTAACACATTGATACATGTATGATAAATTAATGATAAATTAATATGATAAATTAATAAATTGCTAAGTAATTAAAGTGAGTAAGGGAAGAAAGAAGGGAAGGAAAACAAAGCAGGAGGTTAGATGGAGAGAGGCATGTAGCCAAGCGAAGGAGGGATGTTTGAATGAGGCTGATGGACACACATACTGATGACGAATGAATGGCTGCGGAAAGCCACACGTGGGGCAGGAGAATGCGTAGAGGCGACGGAGGTAAGAATGAAGGAGAATGGAGGTATGAAATAATGGTAAAAATGATCATAAGAGCAATGATAACGAGCACGGTACTGTGTTGACAGCATAACTAGGGATTAGCTTGGTCAGTCCTCTCAGTGACGCTTGGAGGCAGGTACATCCCTATTTTTACAAGGAAGAAAATTAGGCACCGATGGATGTAGTTTCTAACTTAAGACCCCTGGACGCAAACCCGTCGTAAACTAGGGCCACCGTGAACAGCGGGGTGTGTGGCTATGTGGTATAATCAGAAAGTGAACGGTGGATGGAAAGAGGGACAGGAGAGAGAAGAATGGATAAAGTCAGTGGGTTGTTGGGTGGATGAATCAGTGGAGCAGAAATAAGTGGAAGAAGGGGAAACGGGGAGCAGGAGGAAGGAGAGATGCACAAAAAGACCAATGAGAGAGGTGGAAGGCTGGAGGAGTCTGTGGATGACATGCTGGGTATAGACGAATGACTGGGTGTGTTGATGGATGGTATTCTGGGATAACAGAATAAGCAAAAGGGATTGGAAGGTAGGGTGGGAGGAAAGGAAAGTGGACAGGTGGATTGAGAGAGAGGTGGAAGTATAAAGTTTCATGATAAAAAATGGGTGTGTGTGGGCAGGTAGGTGGATGGATGGGTGGAATCAATGGATACAGTGAACACAGATGGAGAGATGGAAGGATGAATGGATGGATGGATGGATGGATGGATGGATGGATGGATGGATGATAAAGGGTGGGTGGATGGATGGATGGATGGATGGGTGACAGATGATGGAGGATGGATGAGGAGATGGAGAGATGGATGGATGGATGGATGGATGATGGATGATAGATGGTTGGGTGGATGGATGGATGGATGGATGGATGGATGGGTGACAGATGATGGAGGATGGATGAGGAGATGGAGAGATGGATGGATGGATGGATGGATGGATGGATGGACGGATGGACGGATGGATGGATGATGGATAATAGATGGTTGGGTGGATGGATGGATGGGTGGGTGGATGGATAGATGATGGATGATGGATGATAGATGGGTGGGTGGATGGATAGATGGATGGATGGATGATGGATGATGGGTGGGTGGATGAATGGATGGATGGATGGATGATGGATGATAGATGGATGGATGGATGGATGGATGGGTGACAGATGATGGAGGATGGATGAGGAGATGGAGAGATGGAGAGATGGATGGATGGATGGATGGATGGATGGATGGATGGATGGATGATGGGTGGGTGGATGAATGGATGGATGGATGGATGGATGATGGATGATAGATGGGTGGATGGGTGGATGGGTGGATGGGTGATGTACAGATGAGTGGAAGGATGGATGATGAAGAATGGATGGTGATAGACAGATGATGGAAGATGGATGAATGATGGATCATGGGTGCTGGATGGTGGGGGAGTGGTGAAGGAGGAAACGGGCAAGTACACATACACAAAAACTGACACCGTGTCCTCTCCCTTGATCTGTTCTCTCTGACGTCCCTGTCACTGGGAAGTCTTACAGCCTCTGAGCTGCTGTGTCCTCACCACCTGTGCTCCCCCCTGGTCACCATCCCTCACTCCGCCGAGGACATGCTCCCTTGAGTGGACTCTGCCTCTGGGCTCTCCCACCCCGCCCTCCACCTGGCTGCAGACTTCACAGCTCTGAGACACCCTTCCCTTCCGTGTCTCCACGTGACGAGGAACGACCGTCACAGTCCTGCCTGCGCACCTCAGTCTGCCTCCCGGGAGGCCCTTCTTCTGCCCCCACAGCAGCGGGGGCCTGCCGTTCCCCCAAACTCCTCACCCAGGCCTGTTTGTGTTTTCCCCCCTGGAATCCCCGTCCCCTCATCCACCCTTCAAGGCCCAGAGAAAATGCCGCCTCGTCCCGGGAGGGTCCCACACCAACCCCAACCTCACCCTCGCGTGTTCCTTTTCTGAACACTGGCCTGTCCGTTCCGTCTTGCCACATGTCCTCTGTCCATCAGCCCACTCACCCAGCATTCTGCGACCCCTACGCTGGTCAGCCCTGCCTTGGGATGGCAGCAAGAAGAAGGGACAGGTGTAGGGGTGGACAGCCATGGCTGAGGTGGGGGCCTCTGCTGGGGAGGGGGCTCAGCCCCAGGGCGTCAGTGGTCTTTGCAGAAGAGAGACCTGGATCCCACCCAAGTTCTCAGGCTGGAGCAACAGTATGTCGCCAGGCGAGGTGTGCTCACGGGAGAGCTGGGGCTGGTGGCGTTTGGCGAGGCCAGGAGAGGGTTGAAATAGCTCCCGGGGGCCTTCAATGCCAAGGCAGGAGCCTGGTCCTCCGGTGACAAGGGGGCACTGGTCTCACGAGCAGCGGTGCAGACCACACGACAGAGACACACTGTCGCTGCCTTCCCCGGACACTGAGCAGACTCAGGCCACTCTCTGCGTCGCAGACCCAGCCTGCAGTGACCCGAGCTGACCAGCGTGGATGGCGGGGCCGGACGAGTGCCTCCAAGGATGGATACACGGATGGGCAGGCAGGGACACCTTTGTGTCCCCCTCCGAGTGCCAGCCTCTGTCCAGCCCTGTGCCACGGTGAGTGTTGTTTTGTTTCAGTTTGATTTGTGCCTGAGGAGGGATGGGCTCAGTGAAGCAGTGTCGTCTCAAGACCTCACTGCTCAGAAGGACCAGGCTGGGAATGTCGCCAAGGCCTGACCCCAGGTCTGTCAAGTGCCCACGACCGGCTGCAAAGGCTGTGGGTGCAGCAGCTGGGGGAGGTGCAGCTGGACGGACAGATGGATGAACTTCCGAGTTGAGAGCCCAAGCCGCCGCTACTGTCCTCCCCTCTGTCCAGCAGGGAGGCAGCTCACCTCGCAGGCCCCTCCCAGGTAAGCCCCAAGCCTCCCCACCTTCGCTGCCCCCCAGGAAGAACGCAGTGTCTGAGCTCCCTTGTGCCCCTCAGAAACACCAACTCCCACCCGTCCCCCACCCTGCACACAGCCTGCACCACTCACAAGTCCATGACCTACCTACGGCCCACAGCAGATGGGCCTGCCCTGTGCCAGCCGGCTGCCCACAGCCGAGCCAAGCGGAGGAAGGGACGCGTGCAGAGAGGAGCCCATGCTGCCGGACCATGTCCACAGGCAAGAGGGCACCAGGGGGGGCACAGCTGAGGTTGGCCTGGGAGTCTCCACCCCTGGCTCCCAGGGCCCCTTCCCTTCGCTGCCTCTGCCGCACACACATGCACACCACTCCCACCAGAAGAGCAACTGTACACACATGCACACTCACGCCCACCCACACTATATGCATTCAGTGCACACACACTCACCCCTGTATGCATGTACACACTCAGGCACACACATGCACACCACTCCCACCAGAAGTGCAACTGTACACACATGCACACTCACGCCCACCCACACTATATGCATTCAGTGCACACACACTCACCCCTGTATGCATGTACACACTCAGGCACACACATGCACACCACTCCCACCAGAAGTGCAACTGTACACACATGCACACTCACGCCCACCCACACTATAGGCATTCAGTGCACACACACTCACACCTGTATGCATGTACACACTCAGGCACACACATGCACACCACTCCCACCAGAAGTGCAACTGTACACACACGCACACTCACACCCACCCACACTATAGGCATTCAGTGCACACACACTCACACCTGTATGCATGTACATACTCAGGCACACACATGCACACCACTCCCACCAGAAGTGCAACTGTACACACACGCACACTCACACCCACCCACACTATATGCATTCAGTGCACACACACACACTCACACCTGTATGCATGTATACACTCAGGCACACACATGCACACTCCCAAACAGATGTACACTTAGTCACGCATGCGTCATGATATGCACTCACCCCTACTCCACTGGTTCACATTCTCATACACATGCAATGACACTCACACATGCAAGCACACTCACACCTCACACACAGTCATACACACTCATTCACTCACTATGCGTATACACTCTCTATGCATATACACACATGCTCCCACAATCACGTACATAAATGCACACACTCACACCTATATGCACGCACACACTTCATGTACCACACACACTTTCATACCCATGCACACTCACATTCATGTTCACACAATGCATCATACATGTACACACTTATAAGCACACTCACACAATGTGCACACACTCCCACCAGCAGGTACACGCACTGTGCACACTCACACATTCACTCACACATCAGCGTTCACACGTGGGGAAGCCCAGGACCAGGCACACAGCCTCAGCACATGGGAGAGGGGCGGTCAGTGCTGGCGATGCCAAGGCTGTCAGGAGGGTGGGAAAGCTGGGTGGTGAGGTGTGCGGGGCCGGGGTGGGTGGGCTCAAAGATGCACAGATGCAGAACTGTCCAAGTGCCCCCACCCCGCCTGGCCTCTCTGGCCTGGTGCCCCTCTCCCGCAGCCCCCCTGTTCTGCTCCCGGCCCACCCCGAGGTCTCCGCCTTGCTGGTCAGCTGCAATCAATGAGGTGCACCTGACCTCGGACATTCACATCTGGGTAAAGGAATGATCTGCTTAGACCTGGGCCAAGCCCATCCAGAGTGACAGGGAGATGGGGTGGAGGGGGGACCCCTGCTCCTGCTGGGAGGGCTCCAGCAGCCCTGCGCTCTCTCCTTACACACAATTGTACGGGTGTCTCCACCCCAACCGGGAGCAGCCGCCGCTTCCTGCCTGGGATCTGTCCCCACCTTGCCCAGGGAACTATGTGCCTGCTCCTGGCCAGCTCCGCTCACAGCAGCCGGGGTCGTACCGACATGGACAGGTGTGGAGTCAGAGGGGTACAGGACCTGCTCAGTCTCCCCGCTGGCTCCCAGCCCCCAGACAGACTGTCTAGAAACAGTGTGTAGGAAGGAGGCAGAGAGCAGGGACTGGTGACCAGTCTGCTGTGGCCACCCTTCGGGTGCCTCCCCGGTATCGGATTCCCCAGCAGGGCTTGGACAAGGTCTCCGGCGGTCCCTGACTTCACCTCCTCCTCCCAGCAGGCAAAGGACTCCAAGGCTCTTCCTGTCCTGGGCTCCGTTCCCATGAGCCCAGGGGCAGCCACGTCCAGGTCTAACTCCACATTCCCTGCCCGAGGACAAGACCCTGAGTCGGAGTCCCCGTGCCAGCGACGAAGCTGGCCACCAGAGAGGCTGAGGACCCCGAGCCCTATGGAGACACCCTGGAAGCCTCCCAGCTCAGCACAGGGAGGGCAGCTCAGAGCTCGCCACGTCCTTCTCTCCGGGCTCCCCGTTTTCTGTTCCCTGGCCCCCTGAGCTGCACCTGCGGCACCCAGGCTGCTCTGAGGGGTGGGGCAGTGGTGCAGCCAGGGCCCGCCCGTGCCCGCCCCGCCCGGCCACTCACTTTGAGGGAGTAGGCCAGGGCGATGAAGCCCAGGCAGCAGAAGTTGAGGTAGACGAAGTTGAAGATGGACCACAGGTAGTAGTCATTCACCTCACTGGTGTCCGGATAGACCTCGATGACAGTCGTGGGGTTCGTCATCGTCTTCTTCTCCGCAAGGTGCTTGCAGACCTGGGGGACGCCAGCAGCCCGCACGCTGTCCGTCTTGCCACTCTTGGGCTCCATGGGAAACAGAGTGGGCGCCATGGGGGGCGAGGCCGCGGGCTCGGGGCCGGGGGCCACTGGCGCCTGCAGGGCGGGGGGCTTGGACACACAGGCGAAGCAGCCCTTGGGCGAACCTGCCGGGGGCCTGGGAATCCAGAAGGCCCCGTCCAGGGGCACTCGGGCTTCCTGGGTGCCGTCCGTGGTGCAGGCCGGGGTTCCCAGCCGGGCTGGGCACTGGCCGGGGCCCTGGGCCTGGAGGGAAGGAAGAGGAGGAAGGAGCTGGGTCCACCCTGGCCCCCCACAGCCTCTCCCGTGCAGCCCCAAAGGAGATGGAAAGCCCACTTCAGGGCCAGCCGCCAGCCTGCCACCTGCCTCCCCCGCGCCCGCCGCCGGCACACCAAAGCCCTTCACAGCAGCCTTGGCACAAACACTGGGGCTTTTCATGGCTCTGCCATCTGCGCACAAACATTCACCCACTGACGACCTCCACACCCCCAAGGCCCCCACCGCCCGGCGCTCAGTGAACAGCGCGCCAGCACCCCAGACAGCCAGCACACGCCGGGCAGCAGCCCCACAGCGAGCCGCGGCCTCGGCCTGGCAGGGCGGGCTGGGCGTCTGGACACCTGCAGCCGGATCCGCTGACACATCGGACCAACGCCGCCACCGCGCGCTCGGAATTGCCACCAGGTAAACAACTTCTCACTGTGACACGCATCTGAACACACCACGACACCGGCTGGGACACCATCGCCGCGGGCGGAACACGGAGGCTGCGGGGCTGCAAACTCGCGCGCAACGACGCCCCCGCCCCCAATCCCGGCCCAAAGCGGTGCCCGGACCCCGAGCGCGCACTCGCAGGGAGCACCCGCCCTGTGCCACAAACAGACGCACAATGTCACTGTGAAAGGAACACTTCTCCAACGAGACGCCAAGGCGCCAGCACCCTGCGCCACCCTGGGGGGGGGTGTCTGCGGCCGAGGCCCCGCGACCCCCAGCCGGCCGAGCTGCCGCAGCCGCGGACCGTGCGCTCTCACTTACGGGCGACTCCTTCGCCGGCGGGTCCGACCCTGCGCTGCGTCCGCGCGTCCTTCTGCCGTCCCGCGGGCAGTTGTCTGGCTGGCTGTTCGGCGTCCCAGTGTCCCGAGCTCGGCTCGGGGAGCGCGCGGAGCGGAAGGAGGAGCGCGCGGGGCCGGCGTTGCCTGCGCTCCTCCGCAGCGCCGGCCGGGCGGCGGGGCTGCAGCCCAAGCCTGACTCACGGCGCAGCCACCTCGCGGCCTCCTCCTGCCAACAGGGTGGGGGCCACCGTCCGGGCGGAAGCCTGGCCCTCCGGGGTTGCAGGGCTGGCCAAGGGTGGGTGCCCCCTCCCCCCACAGCGCCGGACTCGGGTGCCGAGCCACACGGTGTTTCCGGATCCCAGCCTGCTCCCTGCTCCCTCCCTCTTCCTGAGCCCCTGACCCTTCCCGGGTTCTCCCTGTCTCCCAAAGAGCCCCCTTCCTCCCCTGCACACCCTGCCCCCAGCCGAGGCCCCTCATAGGCCCATGTCCTTCTTGAATCTGACTCCTGCAGAACCCCACACCCCCCTTGCAGCCCCTCTCTGGGCAGGATGGATCTCACCAACCCTCACTCGAGTGCCCACCCGTGCCCGATCCTGTCCGGAACCAGAGGCCCTCACAGTGCCGTCCTCGGCCCACCAAGTCCAGGCCTCGCGGAGCCGCAGAGGCCCCCATACAGCCCGGTCTTCCTGGGCCGACCTGTCCGAGCTCCTACCTCTCCTTCGCCCATCTGACCCCCACACCGGCCGGAGCCTCTGAACCCCACCCTTGCTAGTCCAGTTCCCTCACCAAGTCTGGTCTCGGAGCCCGTGGCCTGTCACCAGCTGGTCCCTCTGCCCCTGGGGCCAGATGTCCTTCTCCAGCCCCACGACACCTGTCTCCTTGGAGCTCGGTCGGCTCACCAGCCCTGGCCTCTCATCGCCTGTCCCACCGCCCGTCCCCTCACCTGCCTGCCACAGCCTCCCGTCTTCACCCACCCTCCGTGCTCCTTCTCTCGCTCGTCCCCAGCTGACCTCCCGCGTCTGCGAAAGTCCCAGTGATCCCCTCCATCAGGGGGACACTGCCACCATGAAGGTGCCTCTCTGGGTCCTCTTCCCCATCCACTGGCCTCCCAAAGCCCGTACCCCAAGCTGCCCCGAGGGTGACTGTCTGCCTCTCCTGTCCCTCCGAGCCCCGTCCACCCAGAGACCGCTGTGCTCTGAGCGTTTCCTTCCGTGACCCCCTTGTCCTCTGCCCCCCTCCACCTGCCTCCCCTTCTCCCCACAACTCTCTCTCCTCTGAGCTTGGGTCCTTCTCAGGGACCCCTTCTCTCCTTGGAGTCCTGCCCGCCTCTGCCTGGTCGTCTCTGAACCCCTTCTCTCTGGAAACTGTGCTCCCTAGTCTGGGGCAGATCCCAGCCCCTCTCCAAGCCCCTCCCATGCCCCCATCGCCCCCCCTCCCCCACCCTGAGCTGTCAAGAAGCTGCAGCCCAGCCAGCCTTCAGTGTTGTTGCTCCCCCTGAGTGGGGGGACTTCCCAAGCACAAGCAGCCCCCAAGCTGGCCGCGCCCTCTGGGAGCCCAGGCCGGGGCCTAAGGCATGCGGGCACTCGGAGTCTGCCAGGGAGCCAGGGTTCATGCTCCCTCACCCAGGTGCCTGGCAGGGGGACGCCCAGGCCTCTCTCCTGGGGCTGAGCCTCACCTAAGGTGCCCGCCCAGCCTGCGTGTGGCCTGGACACCACACCACGGGGTCTCCCTGCACCCAAGTTGGGCTTCCTCTGCTCTGGGCACGGGCTGCAGGAGCAACCAGGGGCCTGGTCTGCAGGAGTCCGCCTGGTTCTCGGGCTGCAGGCAAGGGCACTGGCCCCCAGGGGCCTGCCCCAGGTCACAGTGGGCTCAGGCCTCTCTCTGAGGCCCCCACTGGCCTCCAACGGGGTGTCCTCAGGCAGGGGTGCAGGGCCGGAAAGGCCTCTTCCCCCATCTCCTGCCCATGGGCCTGCTGGGCTGGTGCAGAGGAAACAGTGAGAACCACCCGCGGTACCCGCCCTCTGGAGGCAGACGCAAGGCTACGGGGTCAGAGAGGCTGCTGCTGAGCCAGGGCAGCAGGTCCTGCAGCCTGGAGGGCCGGGCTCAGCCCTCACTGATCCAGTGTCAGGGGATCTGGCTGTGCCGGTGCCCACGTTCCATGGAGAGGGTCCCTTTAGGAGGCCTGAAGCTCCCAACGGGGAGGATGGGGCGTGGTGTGGCCCTGCGACCATGCCAGCCTGGTGGGCGAGAGCCTGCGGGCGCCGGCAGTCCCGGAGTGAGGCTCTGCCCTGGGGCCTCAGGCACACGGCTTTGATGACACCGTCTCCCCAGAAGCCCTGCCAGGCGCTGCAGTCTGCCTGCTCCCTGCTCATATTTCAGGTGCAGAGAACACTGGGCACATGTTTACGAGCCTCCGTGCCACCCTGGTTGGACGTTTTCTAGAGGTGTCCGCCAAGGCTGAGCTTCTGGGTACCGTGCCCCAGATCCCCTGAGGCCAGGCCAAAGGCAGCCAGAGCCCTGAAGGCTGACAAGGCCCCAGGACAGTTACAGATGTCACACGTGCCGAACCCCGACACCTGCCAGGGGCAGGCTCCATGCAAGAGTCCCATGAACTCCTATCCACCCCTCAAAACCCACCGACTGTATAGCTACACCTGGGCAAATGTTCTTGGCCCCACCCAACAGAGGCCGTGAGTGGGGTGGGGGGTCACTGTGGCCTAAGTCAGACCCGAGTCCTGTGACCCTGGGACCCAGGAGGGCCTGCTCAGAGCCAGTGACAAGGCAGCCCAGACGGGAGGCAGGCTGCCCCTCACCCAGCCCTGCGCAGGCTCCCCTCGTAGGCCAAGTGGGGTGTGCAGGGGGGCTGGGGAACCCCAGGGCCCTGCTGCTGGGGTCCCTCCAAGGGCAGGAACATCGTCCAGGAAGGCCCTCGCCAGCCTGTGCGGGCCCCACCTGCAGCCTCCAGCCCAGGCCGCATCCCGCCGGTCACCGGGCAGACTGCGCACAAGCCGGCCCCCGCCAGCCCTGAGGCGGGGCCGCCACCTCGAGCCCCAGGGTCCCAGGTGCAGGGCACCTCCAGAGATCTGCACCCTCCAGCCCCGGAGTCGGCCTCCAAGATGCTGGCACCCCCACCCCTCCGCAGCCCGGATCGAGCACCGCCGCCCTGTGAAGCACACAGCACACCCACACGGAGAGCCCCGACAACTTTATTTCCACGTCAGCTTTGGCTCCGGCCACGCAAGGGGCAGCCTCAGAGAACGCCGGTGCCAGCACCCCCCCCCCCCCGGTCAGTCGGTGCCCTCCCGGGGGAGGGGCCAAGCCCCAGGAGGACCCACAGGCCTCGCAAGGCTGGCATCTGTCCCCTCCCAGTTCCTTCCTGCTGGTCCTCAGACCTCAGCTGGCCCCTCATTGCCGGGCCTGAGACAGACGGATGCGTGGTGGGGTGGCAGTGCCCAGCTCGGGCCCCAGGCTGGGTGTAGACAGGACCAGGAACGCAGCCTGGGGCAGAGTGGGGGGCTCAGCCCAGAGGCCCTGCCCTGGCAGCCACCCCAGGCCCAGGCTGGGGCAGGACACAGCTGATGGGCTGCCAGGCTGGGTCGTCCGAGTGAGTGAGGACAAGGAGCCCTGATGAGCCCACTGGCTGCCCGGGCCCTGGCCCTCCATCAGACAGACAGACAGACAGACAGGCGGCACTCTGAGTCAGGGAAGGGCAAACCACAGAACAAAACAGCGGCCGCCACGCCGCAGCCTGGAGCCGGGCGCGTGAGTGTGCGAGCTGAGTGTGTGGGGGCGGCGGGGGGGCAGGCGGCCCCTCCCACGGTCCTCCTCCTCTTCCGCCAGTGGGCGGCTATAGCTTCGTGGCCTCGGCCAGGCCCACACGGTTCTCGTCGCGGTCAAACACGGTGTAGTAGCGGCCGATGAAGACGTCACCCAGGATCCAGAGTGGCCCCCCAGGTGGGGGGATGTCCATGCCCATGAAGCCACTTAGGCAGATGGTCTTCCCGCCCTGTGACACCTGGGAAGGCCGGAGTGTTAGCACCTGGCCAGCCGGCCACCCAGGCCTCCCCCATGCCCCTCCCTGTCCCCCCCCCGTCCCTCCCTGTGCCCCCCACTCACCTTGAGCGTGTAGTCCTCCGCGCTCAGCTTGTAGTCCTTGTCCCCCAGCTTCAGGCTGACCTGCGGCAGGCTGGACACCTTCTCACAGGGGATCATGTACTGAAGGACGAGAGGGCAGTGTGGGGACAGCAGCCGGGGGCAGCCCGCCCACCCCCGTCTCTCGTGCCCTGCTCACCTCGCCCTGGATGAGCGGCACAGCCCCGATGGCCTTCTGCAGCTCGCGCACCTCGTCCACGGGGCCCACGATGAGGGAGGTGCCCGTGTCCACAATGGCCTCGCAGCCCCCCTTGCACAGGGTCAGGCCGCTGCCCACGTTCACCCTGCAGGGGGAGTGGGTGTGTCGGGCCACCGGAGTCCCCAGGGTGCCCGGCCGCAGCCCTGGCAGGACGTTTCCCCTCCTCTCGGGACGTGGCCGTGAGCAGAGCCGGGTGCCGGGGCCCAGATGCCCGACGCCAGAGCAGGGTCCCCGCCGCTGCGCAGCTGGGCGGGCGCAGGGCACCAGGGGCGACGAGGCGCCAGGGCCGTCGGGGCGCAGGGCCGGGCCCATCCCATCGCCACCCCTCCCGCCCCCACCAGGCTCGGGCTGGACCCCCGCCCCCGCCGAGCGAGGCCGCACTCACTGCTCCATGTGGACCTGCCAGTAGGCTTTGCGGGTGACGTTGAGGTAGGTGAGGGAGCCCTTGTAGTACTTGGAGTCGATGCCCCCCAGCATCAGCTCACCCCCGGGCTGCGCGTTCGGGTCCCTGCGAGGACAGGGAGGGCCGGTCAGCCCCCTGCCCACCCGATGTCCAGGCTGAGGACTGGGCGGGACAGGTCCAGGCTGGGACCAGGAGGTCAGAGGTCAAGGGTGGGTGGGCCAATCTTAGAGGGTCTGCCAAGGCAGGGACCCTCCTGAGCCCGCAGGGATGGAAGGATCCAGAAGGGGCACTTCCTTCTCCCCCCGGGCAAGCACTCTGGCCCCACACCCGTGTGGGCTGCGCCGAGCCCCATGCCCAGCAGGAGATAAGCTCGGGCCGCAGGGCCTCCTGGCCTGCCAGCCAAGGACAGCCAGGGGCAGTCTGGTGGGCAGACAGGGAGGGAAAGCTAGGAGCCCAAGGAGGGGAACCAAGGAGGGCCTCCAGGAGGAAGGGCCAGGCGACCCGGAGAGGTGGGCCCGCTCGTTCCTGCCCCGGGGCTCATGGCCTTGTATCCTTCGGGCTGTCAGCAACTTGAGGGCCACAACTGCCCATCCCTAAACCCAGCTCGGTTCTCAGAGCAGGGCCACCCACCCGGACTCTGGACACACGGCCCCAGCTCCTCCTGAGAGGGTGCTGTCCCGGCCTCTGGGCAGACGCCAGGGCTGTGGCCCAGCGCCCACCGGGAGGGCAGGGCCGCCCTGCCCTCCTCACCCTACCTCTCAGCATGGCAGGCTCAGGGGACACCCGGGCCCAGCCCAGCCACCTGTTCAGGTAGAAGGAGAAGACGTTCTTGTCCACCAGCTTCTGCTGCATCAGGTTGTCGAAGACGGGCACCACGTCGTTGACCGAGATGCGGGGGTAGGCCATGCCCAAGATGCCGTCGAACTTGGCGGCGATGAAGGTGATGCCCGGCTGCTTGACGGCCTCCCCGAAGACCTGCCGCTCTATCTTGACGCCGCCCAGGGCCGACAGAGCCGAGTTGCAGGGCACCTGAGGGACGCGGGGGTCAGTGAGCCCCACGGACCCGGGAGTCGGCCCCTGGCACCGAGGGGGCCGCCCCGCCAGCCCCGGGTGTGGGAGACCCCAGCTGCACGTCCGGCTCTCACTGCCGTCATCTGGCCGGGGGCTCGAGAGGACAGGGCTGGGAGCACGGGGGTGGGGACAGAGCTGCGGGCCGGGGGTCTGCGCTCCGCCAGGACCACTAGCAGGGACAGAGGCACAGAGGGGGACCCTGGTTCAGCGCCAGCCCCGCCCCTCCTCCCACTGGGCAGCTCCCACCCTTGGGCTGACGAGGGACTGGGACCCCACGACCCCACCCACTGGCAGAACGTGGCCACGCCCCCCCGGCCCCCCGCCGAGGCTGCAGGATGTGGGGACAAACGGCTGTGTGTGGTGACACGGGAGGAGGGGAGCGCGTTGGGCCACATCCTGCCTCAGGCCTGGAGAGAACCGGGGGTTGGGGGGCTGGTGCCCAACAGACACTGGGTGGGGGAGGAGAGCAGCCCCAGAGAAACCAGGTGCCATGAGGAGCCCGCTGGTCCTCACGCGAACGCAGGCGCCAGCCACCAGCGGGGCTGCCTGAGCCCACCTGTCACCCGGAGGAGGGACAGGTGCAGGAAGCTCGCTGCCCTCCTGGCCTCCAGGGGCGGGGGTGGGGGACCCTCTTCTCTTCGCTCCTCACCCCCCAGAACTCCCGGGCCAGCTCCACACCCAGGAACCGGCCCGATGACCCCTCCTCAAGGGGGAGCGTGCCCTGCACGGGACCCCAAAGACTGTCTACTGCCGGCAGGGCCCGGGCAGCCGCCCCAGCCCTCCCCCCATACCTCCCAGTGTCCTGCCTGAGGAGCTGCCCCGCTCCTCGGCCCCCCGAGCCTCAACAGCTGCAGGGAGCCCCCAAGGCTGGCCCTGAGCACCCAGCTGGCACCGCAAACCCAAGCATCAGAAAGGAACCCAGTCCTCCCGGGGCCGCCTGCCCGCCTCCTGCAGGGGACCCTGGGCGGAGGCCTCCTGGTTCATCTCCAGGCAGGTTCTGGTCCCGCCTGCACCCGTGTGCCTGGACCTTGGGGGCTCCTCGGGTGTTGAAACCCTCACTGTGTCAGCAGCTCCCGCCCCTCTGTCCCCTCCTAACTCTCCTGGCCAAGCCCTGGGTCTGCACTCGGCCAGGTCTGCTCCGTCCCTGGGCTCGCTCACTGTCCCTCCACCGGGGAGCGTCCGGGCTCCTCCTCACCCCCAGGCCTTTGTTGAGGTGTGACCCCAGCCTCGCTTGGCTGACTGCTGCCGGCCCTCTGGGGAGCTAGTCCAGACCCCTGCCTGGGGGTCACCGAGCCCCATCTCCCTGCCACACGTGGGAGACTCCCCAGCACGCGAGCGCCCAGCAGGGCAGGCTCACCGACACGGTGTCCTGGCTCAGATACCCGGAGAGGCTGCCCGAGCCGTAGTGGATGTCGAAGGACGTGCCGTTCTTCACGTACGTGCTGGACTTCCCGCTGTTGTACTTGTGGTGGATCCCTGTGCCGACAGGAGCCCGTCAGCTGCCCCCTGTGGCCCGGGCCCTTGGCCCCAGCCCCCTCCCCGGAGCCCAGGACAGGGAGCTGCCGCCCTGGTCTTGGTCTCAGCCGAGGGGCCCGTGGCTTGCTCCATCCTTGGCCACCATGGTCCCAGCGCAGTGAGTAAGGAGGAGGGCAGGACAGTTCTGGAAGCGGGAGCCTGGGAGCATGTTGCCCAGCTGCCCTCCTCCCCGTGTCCAGCCCCAACCACCTCCCAGGTCTGCAGGCGGCGGCGGAGGCTGGGCAGCAGCCCTGCGCCGGGGGAGAGTGTACACACGTGTGTGGTGCCCAGGGCTGCGCCCCCCCCCCCGGCCCCGGGGGCCCTCAGACTTGGGGGCGGCGCTGGGCGGACAGACTCACAGCAGGCGATGTCTAGCAGCTTGCAGTGGATCGACGGGACCCACAAGTTGGAGGAGCCGGTGTCAAAGACGACAGTGAAACACTGCGGGGGGGTCCCGATGCCGATCTCCCCGTAGTACTGGGCCTGGGGGGAGGGCAGGGCCCATCAGGGCCAGGGGAGGGGTGCCCCACCTCCCCCTGGGTTGCAAAGGCCATGGGCTGTACCTCCACCCCACACGGACCTGCCGTCAGGCTGTCCACCTCCAGACCTGGGGCACAGCTGCGCCCCTGCCGGACCAGGGTGGCCGCAGAGAAGCCCCCTCTCCCAATCTGAAACGTGAAGCTAGGTCCAGTCGGTAGGGATAGGCTCTGCCTGCTGCCTGAGCCTCGGCGGGCCAGGGCCAGGGCCCGGGAGGGGGAGAGAATGCCCCCCCAGGACGGGGCCTCAGTTCCCACCCTGCCCTGCTCCATGAAGCCAAGCCTGGAGGGCTCCCAGGAGAGGGTTCCAGGTGGCCAAAGGGAGGAGGTACACCCTGGGGATTCAGAGTCCCCAGTGGCCAGCCTCTCTGCCTTCACTGCCCTGGCCTCGGTTCCCCATCTGTGCGCAAGGGGAGCTGGGGGTGCTCCAGTTAGCACGAGGGGAGCACGTGCCCCTCTGAGCCTCAGAGGGAAGCCTCGTCCTCGGCCCTCTCGGAGGTCAGAGGACACGGGCGTTCTCGAGCTTGGGGTCATCTGGGCCCTGCCTGCTTGAGCATCCCGGTCCTCCCAGGGAAGGAGCCTGAGACACAAGTCATCCTGGGCATCTCTCCCCGGCCAGCTGGCTCCAGGGAGCCCCAGCAGCTGACTCATGATCCAACAGAAGTGTCCGGATTGGGGCACGGAGGATGACTCAGCAAATATCTGAGTGTGTGGGCACCGAGGAAAATCAGGAACTGGTCAGTTGACCCTGGGCAGACGGCCCCCCTCCACCGGCCTGGTCACATGCCTGTGAGGCTCCAGCTTCCTGGCACGGCTGGGGTTCCAGCCAGTGAGGACAGAGGGCATGGCCACCTGTCCCAGCCCCAGGTGGACCAGAGCTGCGAGGCACTGCGAGGCTGGCTCCCTAGACTCAGGGGTGTGGCACCCAGAGAGGGTGTCCCAGAGGTGGGAGTAGGCTGACCCGGCCCCAGCTGGCTGTGTGGCTTCCAGAACGTTCCACCTCTGGCCTCTCTCCTGCGCCAGGACCAGTGGCACAGATTGGGTCACCAGCCGCCCCAGGCCTCCAGCAGGCTGGGCAGGAAAACAAGCTCCGGGGCCGTTGGTTACGCCCCGGCAGGCAGGCCCCGATACCCCGTCTCAAGCACCCCGCCCTGCGGCCCCCCTGGAGCAGCAGGCCTGTGTCTGACTCTGGGCCCCTCCACACTCGGCCGGCGGCCCTGGCCCAGCTCCCCCATCTGTTGAGGACGACGCTGCCCTCACTCCCCGCAGGCTGGCCTTGAGGACGAGACCCCCGCCAGCTCCCAGCCCAGGGTCAGTGGCCCGAAGGGGCAGAGCTCACTGCGGGGCCAGGGCCACCCTAACCGGCCCTCTCAGCCAGATAGGAGAGCCCTCCACAAGGCAGGGGGCGTGGCCGAGTGAAGCTGCCCCGCCCAGGGCAGGCAGGTGCTCAAAACTGCTGGCTGCCTGAGCAAGAGCATTTCACCAAACGCACGGCAGCTCACACGAATCGCTCCCTGAAGCATGTCCGTGGTCTGCCTGGGCCCCATCCCAAGTGGACACCCCACTCCCACACTCACGTCCATGTAGTTCTTGAGCATCTCGGGGACGGGCCCCCCGGTCGCAGCGGGCACCCCCTGGGCATATTTTGAAATGGGGCCCTTGGCGATCAGGTCTTCCACGGGGCCCGCCACCTCCGACATGGTCCGGCGGATCGACGTGAACTTGTGCAGCGGGATTCTGTCGAGAGGAGGGCCAGGGCTTCTTATGCAGGGTTCGCCTCCGCCTCCCCCTCCTCAGCCACCAGGGGCTTCAAAGACCCTCCCCCCAAGCTTTAGTCCCACTCTGGTCTCCAGTGTGACAGGGGCTGGTGGGATCTGTAAGACAGGGGTGGCCACCTGTCACCCCTGCCCAAAGCCTCTGAGCCCCATTCAATGGGCCCTCTTGGCCGTGTCTCACCCAGACCTTAGGCCAACGTGGCCCTCACCTTCCTTGCCTGTCCTCCCTGGGATGGTCACCTCTTGGCATCAGATTGGACTTCAATGCCACCCCTCTGAGGGACCCTCCTTGACTATCCTCAGTGGCTCGTCACATCACCCTGCCTCCTTCCACTGCCCTCACCCCACTCTGCAGTGACCTCGGTCTTTTACTTTACTGGTGACCTGTCCGTCTCCCCACCCTACACCACAGACCCCAGATGCCTGGGACTGCACCTGGAGCGGGGTCTCTGCTTGCAGCCTGCCACACATACGCCAAGGCCCCCCCTGGGAGCACCTTGCACCACCCCAGCCCCCCAGCACATGCGCCCCGCAGGAGGGCACGGGGGCCGAGGTCGGGTGTCCTGGCTGTGTTGTGCACGTGGCTCTGCCATCAGAGCGGAGTGAGGGCTCCCCTGGGTCTGAGCGTGCTCCGTTGCCATGGTGCAGAGGGGCAGGGTGCGCCTGAGCGAGGCTAGTCACTGGGGAGATGCCTTCCCAGCGGGATGCGAGCTCAAGGCTGGCTCCTTCCCGCAGGCCAAGGGCATGCTCGAGGAAAGTGAAGCCCAAGAGCTGGTAAGCGGGGCAGCCTGAGGCTCCTGCCTGGTGGGGCGGGGCATACCCTCAGCCATCCTGGAAACAGCAGCCGTTGGTCCCAAGGACCTGGGTGGTGTGAGGGGCTTTGGCTCAGCTGCCTCACCCCAGAGCCCCCAGGCTCCCTCCCCCACTGCTCTCCATCCCTGGGGCGGCCTGTGGGTGGAGCCGGGGCAGGCTCACGCTTGCACCTGCTCCCCCACAACTGCTCCAGTTGGGGCTACTCACCCCCAGGTCACAGCCCACGCAGGGCAGCCCTTTGGCAAGGCTCAGTCCCACTCGGCCTCCAGCCAGCTCCCTGGCCTGCGGCCTCGCCCACCTGCCCACGGGCAAAAGGCCCACAGCAGAGGAGGAAGAATGTGGCCCCATACAAGGGCCCCTCCAGATGGCAGGGGCAGAGCAGGAAGAGTGGGAGAAGGGGTGAGGGCCCCTCCTCGGCCTGGCTGGCAGAGCAGGGCTCGGCCCTAGCCCTAGCCTGGCAGCTGGTGACCTCACCTGGCACAGGGGTGCAGGTCCCCAGGCCTGGCAGGACATGGTCCTCACTGGGTCAGAGCCCCAGCCTCAAGGACACGCTCCTGGATCCTCTCCTTAAGCTACACCCTTCCTGTCCCTTGGGCACTTGGGGCTCCGAAGGTGGCCCCCGAGAGTCTCCAAGCCAGTGTTTTGGGGTAAGATCCCACGTGACGAGCCAGGGGAAGGCAAGACCAGCCCACAGGTGGTCAAGTGGAGCCCCAAGTGGGAAAACCACTTGCCCAAGTTCATGGGCCTCTGGGGCCAACACCCGGGGTCTCCCGACTTCCACACGTGGGCCCTGGGTACAGGCACCCACCCCACCTGCCCTGGGGGGGCTGGGCCGGCCAGAGTCGCAGCCAGGCTCCCTCCTACCCCGACGCGGACCCCGACACGAGTGCAGGGGGAGGGGTCGCCCGGCTGGGCTGGGGGGGGGGAGCGAACCCCGCAGCGGCAGCGCGTCCCGCCGCGCCGAGCGTGGCCCTGCAGGGGCGCGGGCTGCGCGCTCGGGCCGGGTCGGGGCCGGGCTCGCGGAGGTCACCGGGGGCGCGGGCCCGGCCGACCTCACCTGATGAGCGCGGCGGCGGGCGCGGCCAGCAGGCCGAGGACGAGCAGCAGCAGGCTGGGGGGCTGCATGGCGGCGGCGGCCGGGCGGAACGGAGCTGCGCGAGGCCGGAGCTTATAGCCGGGATGACGGCGCAGTCGGTCAGCTGACGGGCTTGTTTGCACCGGGCGGGTCACGTGCGCCGCGGCCGGCGTGCGCGGGGCGGGGCTACGCGGGGCGCCGAGGCCACGCCCCCGGCCGGCAGCCCGTGCTGGGCGCTGGTCGCCTCCCCGTCCCCGCGGGCACCGACCCCCGCTGCCCGATTGCGGGGGCCCAGCGTGGGCGTCACGTGTCCCCGGCGGGGACGGACTGCCACCGGGTCTGAGCCGCGGGGTCGCGGGCCTGGAGCCCCCTGGCCGCCTGGGGGCCGCGGGCTGTGCATCACTGAGGCCCGCGCCTGCCCCTTCCCCAGGGCGCCTTCTGCGCGTCCACTGCGCCCCGCCGGGCACCCCTCACCCTCAGCCTCCCTCTGCCAGTGTCCGCAACCCGACCCCACCTCCCCAGAGCAACGCCTGGCCTGACCCTGGCCTGACCCTGCCCTCCAGCCCCAGCCCACCTTGCTCTGGGATCCCCAGCCCACCCTCCTCCCCAGGCCTCAACCAAAAGGAGAACTCGGGTCTGCCAGCTCCCGCCACTCACAGGCCCCGGGTGGGCCAGGGCTCGGCCCTGCTGAGGCACAGTGACCGCAGCCCTTGGGACCACGGGTCACCCCTTCCTGCCCGTTGGTGCCTGGAACCGAGTTTGCTGTCTGAGGGCAGGCCAGCTCCACCCCCTACCCAGTCCCCGCCAGAGGAGGGACAGGCTCCATTCAACCTTAAGGAGGTAAGGAGCTTGGACAGGCCATATCAGAGACCGTGTCAAGAAGGGAACGAAATGAAGGAATGTGCTGGAAAGTGACCACTGTCCCAGAGGCACTTGCAGGTGGACAAGGCCACCAGAGTGTGGGCAGGAGAGCTGTGTGGGTGGCCGAGGTGGGGAGGGTGGGGGCAGCCGGTTGCATCTGGCCCGGGCGGCTTTGAGCCAGGCTGAGATTCTGGGTCTTTCCACCAGGACAGTGGCTGAGAAAGGACCTCTGGTGACTCAAAGGGTAGAGAGGCGCCACCCCCCACCCCCCGCAGACACCCTGTCCGTCCCTTCGGTACAGAGCGGGACCTTCCCTCCATGTTGTTCCAGGGTTTCCCAGCACCCAGAGCGCCTGGCACGCGGTGGGTGTTCAGTAGTTCCGTTTGGGAAGGACAGGGATGCTCAGGGTCCCACAGGTCCTGACACAAGCTCAGGAGTCTCTCCCTGGTGAGCAGCACCAGGACACCTGACTGCGGGGCTGGGCCCGGCCTCTGCTGCCCAGCACCAGACAGAGCCCATGTGCTTCCCAGGACACCCTGTGGCTTCAGACAGGCTCTAGGGGGTCTCTGCTCTTTCACAGGCCACAGGCCCCTCCAACTTAGTAACTCCAAAGCCATTCATTCATGGTGTGATTGGCCAGAGGGTCCCAGAAGGCCCTGTCCCCTGTGCCCTGCTGGGTGGGCCAGGGCCAGAAAGAGGTGCCCCTCCGGCCAAAGGCAGTGGGCCTCTGACCTCTGACACGCTCCACAGGGCCCCAAGGCAGGCCTGGTGGGAGCAGGGCTCCCAGGCCTGCTGGGCAGGTGTGGGGCCAGAGGTCTGAGCTGGTGCAGCACCCTGGGCACAACTCCTGGTTTCTGCCCCTAGTGGGCATGGGCCAGGGTCTAGGGGGTCCAGGGGGACAGCCAAGGCCCAGGCGGGCCGTGCTGCCCTATGAATTGGGATGCGAGGGGTTAGAAGCCAACCCTCTTTTTTTTTTTTTTTTGGTGTGTGCCCCTAGCCGGAACCGAACCCAAGACTTTCTTGTCCGAAGGCCAATGCTCCAACCGCTGAGCCAAACCGGCCAGGGCAGAAGCCAAGCTTCTTGACCTGCCCTCGGACGCCTGGTGGGCCATCCCTCCCACACTTAATTGTCCAGCACCCCTGGGTGCTGGGAAACCAGGGGCTCAGCCCAGGGCTCCCTCCCGCGTGGAATTCATACTCCAGATGGGGAAACAGATGCCACACGGGCTTCTGGAAGGAGGATGGGTGCTCGGGGGAGCCGGGCAGCAGGGACCCACAGGGACAGGAAGGAAGGTGTTGTAATGGGGGAAGCCACACTGAGCAGACGCTGAGGAGGTGGTGGGTCAGCGCTCTCGAGGTCAGGGACGGGGCCTGCCTGGTGGGGGACCGTCAGCTGAGCAGAGCACAGGCAGAGGGGAAAGAGGTGAGGTCAGAGGTCAGAGAGGAGCCCCTGGAAAAGCCTGGTCAGCATCACTGGCTGCCATACTGGATGTGGGGAGGGAGTGGGAGCCGGGCTGGGTGGTGCTGGGGTCTGGCGGGGGTGAGGAGGCGGTGAGGAGCATTCGGCTTCGGGCCACCCTTTTGAGGTCGGGCCAGTAGGGTTTCCGACGGCTGGGACGCATGGTGTGCGATGGAGGGGTCCGTGCTCACTAGGGGTCTGTTCAAGATAGCTGGAGGGTGGCCTGTTGTTGGCTGGGACAGATGCCGGAGGGGGCTCGGGAGGAAGGCCAGGAGCTCAGTTTTGGGTTGTCCCGTGGAGATGACACCCAGGGGGCTTCCAGGGGGTGTCCAGTGGCAGCCGCTGTTGGAGTTGGGAGCTGAGGGGACAGATCCAAGCTGAGGAAGAAGCTCGAGAGTCCTCAACGGTCAGCAGTGTTGAAGTGATGAGACCGGATACAGCAAAGGCTGGTGCAGAGACCAGAAGAGGCGCGGGGCCTCCGAACCTTGGAGGTCAGAGTGGCAGGGGGATGGGCAAAGGAGAGAGCAGGGGCTGCCGGGACGGGGTCAGGAAGGCGTGCCTGAGGCCGAGCGAAGAGTGGCTCCAGGAGGGGTGGCCACTGTGACAGTCACCGCCATGGAGCAGCCCCCTGAAGGTGGGCTCCGCACTGACACTGGATTTAGTCATTCGACCTTGAGAGCAGCCCAGTGTCCTGGCAGGGGTGGCGTTTGAGGGAGGACAGCGTGGGTTGGATGCACCGTGGACAGGGGCGAGCCGGCGCTGACGTGCGGGGAGTCTCCGTGCGTGGTGCAGAGGCAGGACAGTGCCGCACACTCTCAGTCCCCGGTGCCTCGGAGAGAGAACCCAGTGGTGACTCCTCGAGGGGAGGAAAGACCAAGGAGACCGGCTTCGTGATCTCGGAATCAGCGGAGGGCCCTGGTTCCAACAGGAAGCCAGAACACAGCGAGGCGCCCGCGGGAAGGGCGGGAAGGCACTGTTCCGACGGGAAAAGGCCAGCCACAGGCTGGAGAACACGCCTCTGGGAAGGACCTGTGTCCGAGCTATGGAAAAAGAACTCCTAAAACTCAGACGAGAAAACGAACAGCCCAATTAAAAAGTGGGCAAAGACGAAGTCGACATGTGACCGATGAGGACACGCAGAGGGAAGTAGGCATGTGAAAAGACACTTGCGTCATATGGGAAGTGCACATTAAGGCAATAATGAGACACCCACACACCCATCGAAGTAGTGACACCGCCCAGTGCGGGAGCACGGGAGCAGCCGCAACCTCCCTGCTGGTGGGGATGCAGGTGGGGCGGGCGCTCCAAGGCAGTTTGGGGGTGCTTACGAAACCAGACATACTCTCGCCCTAAGATCCAGTAATCGTGCTCCTTGCTGTTTACCCAAAAGAGGCGAAAACGTACGTCCGCACGAAACCTGCACTAGATGCTCACGGCGGTGTTAGTCGCAGCCGCTGAGACTCGGAAGCCACAACGGGGTCCTTCAGGAGTGAGCCGACGTGCAAGCGTGGTCCGTCCGGAGCGTGCGGCGATAAATACAAACGAGCTCTCGGGCCACGAAAAGGCACGGAGGGGACGTAGCTGCGTGTGCCTGAGCGAGGGAAGCCAGCCTGAGAGGGCTGTGTCCGGTGCGGTGCCCACTGTGTGAGATTCTGAAGCGAAGCCCCGGAGACGGTGACAGATCAGTGGTTGTGGTGGGAGGGGTGGACAGGTACGGCACAGGGTTTCTAGGGCCCTGAAGTTGCTCTGTGTGATACTGGAGTGATGGACACGTGCCATTATAGGTTTCCCGGCACCGGTGGAAGACACAGCTCAGGGGATGGACGTTCAGGTAAACCACGTGCTTTGGTTAATAACAGTGTATATCATCACCGGCTCATCAACTGTAACGAATGGACCACAGCCATGAAGATGCTAACAACAGGAGACCGTGTATGTGTGTGTGTGCACGTGCACATACGTGCGTGGCATGGTTGAGGGACCCCTGTCCTATCCACCAACCTCTCTGGGGGGGTGAAAGTGTCCTGATAAATGAAGCCTGATATTGGGAAAAAGGATACACTAGACTATGCCGACATTAATGATTTTTGTTCCTCAAAATACCCCGTAATAAGAAAAGACAAGCCACAGAGACGGACCAAGTTCGTCATGTGTCTCTGGCAAGCGACTAGTATCTGAAACGTGAAAAGAATCTCAAGCCAATAAAAAGATAGACAACGCAATGGGACAAAAAAGAAGACAAAGCGGGCAGGGGACGTCCAGGTGCCCCATAAAGGTGTGGAAGGGCGTTCGTTTTCACTGGTCCTCGGGAAAGTGTGGACCGGAACAGGCAGTCTGGTTGCATCGACCCACCCGCCAGAATGGCCGGCGTGAACCGCGTCGTGCAGCGACTGGACCGGGCGCTGGCTGGCTGGCAAATTGGTCAGGCTCTTTGGGAAACCGCGTGGCTTGTCCACGAAGGCTGGTCCTGAGCGGTCCTGGCCAGGGGCACCGCCTCCGGGGTGCACCGCTCGCTCTGGTCGCCAGGTGCCAGTGCGTTGGCCGTGCCTCGGAGGGGCGCCCTGCAGCCTGTGGGAGCTTCGTCCCCGAGACGCGCATTCACGCAGCCTCGAGAAGGAGCAGACGGAGGTACAGACGGACAGACCACCGGCACACACAACACGTGGGCCCGGACGTGCAGCTGGGGCTGCGGCCCTCCGGCCACCGCGTCCCCTCAGTGGCAGAGGTAGGAGGGCCGGGGTCCCAGCTGGCAGACAGTGTCTTCTCTGCCCTGTCTCACCCGCAGGCCGTGAGACCCCCCAGCGGCCCCCAGGGCACAGCAGGGCAGGCAGGAGTGCCAGCCACCCCCTCTGCTCACGCTCTGAACCTGGGGTTCCCGGGTGCCCCAAGGACAGGAAGGGTCTGTGGGTGTCCGGGGGCCAGGCTGCCGGCCAGACCCGGGGGCGGGCTGCTCCGAGTGCCAGGCTGGAAGTGGTTTCTAACAGGTCCTCCCAGGAGGCGGGTGCTGGGATGCTGAGTCACACCTGCTGGGCTGCCCTCCCTGCCCAGCCCTCCACTGGGGCCTGAGTCACCCCACTTCTGGCCTTCTGAGCCAGGCCAAGCTCCCTGGGGCCACAGGCCCAGGCTATTAGTTCTACTGTGGAGAAGGCCATTGAGGGAATTAACTTCGGGTCAGCTGCCTTGGACAGGGGCCTGAGCTGGTGGGGGAGGGTGGGGCTCTGAGTGGCTGGCACAGTTAGTGTACAGGGAGGGGTGACGGGCACAGGTGGAAGGAGCAGGGGGAGGGGTGACGGGCACAGGTGGAAGGAGCAGGGGGAGGGGTGACGGGCACAGATGGGGCAGGGAGAGGGGTGATGGGCACAGGTGGAAGGAGCAGGGGGAGGGGTCATGGGCTCGGCTGGTCCAGGATGTGGGGATCCTGGGTGTCCTACAGGATAGGAACCTATCTTGGCTAAAGGTGCCTCAGGCCCTTTGGTTCTCCCCACCGGGCCTGCCCCCCCAGCCCCCCTACCCCAGGGCAGGGTCATTCAGGGCTTCCCACCCTGGCCACCACCCTGCACCTTAGCCCAGCTCTCTCCGTGACAGGGAACACTTCCAGGGCCACAGTGGCTAGAGCCTACCCTGTGTCCTCTCCCAGTGGGCCTTGGCTTCTCCCCTGCACCGGCCACCCGAGTCCCCCAGCTCTGCGCCTAGTGTGGAGCTGGTTCCAGACCATCGGGGAGCTGGGGGTGGGACCTGGTGCTCTTGGGGCATTTGGAGGAGCCCAGGGGCTACAGGGGACAATTGCTTTCTTCATCTGGTGGGTGGACCTGCTGACCTTTTAAGTTATCCACTCCCCCTAGCGCGCGCGCACACACACACACACACAGGTGGATTGTGCTGAGATGGAGACAAAGCCCGGAGGCTTTGAGAACACAGCAGCATCTCAGGGCCTCAGTCTAGGTTCTGGTGAATAGGAGACCATGGTCCCAGTGGCTCACAAGCCCTCTGGAGTAGGCACTCCAGGGCCAAAGACTGAGCCCTGAGCCATGGCCTTCCTCCGTGGTGGCTGTGCTCCGGGGAGGGGGGGTCCTGGGGAACTCCAGGAGCCCACAGGTCCGGGACCCGCTTCAGCATCTCACTGCACGGGGAATGACTCATGCTGGCGTGCTGTCCCCCACGTCACGCTTGGTTAGGGCCCACACCTCACTGTTTAGCACACACACTGTGCCCCTGGGGGCCAGCCACTGCGCTGCTCACGGAGGATGAACAGGACACACAGAACTCCCTTGGGGCAGTTAGGCCCAGGCCACGTCCTTGGTCAGTGAGGGACCCGGTTATAGGCTGCACACGTGCGGAGGGGACAGCTGGCCGCTGCTGCGGAGGACCACTGTGCACCTTCCTGAAAGACGCGCTCCAGGGAAGGAGAGGAGCCCCCGGGGCCAGGGCGGGCAGGGAGGGTAGGTCAGGGGTCAGAGGGGTGACAGGGACCACTGGGCCAGGCAGTGTGCCTGGGGCAGCTGTGCACTGGGCCAGGCTGTGGGGGCCCGTGGGAGGGCATTGCTGCCCCACCCCGGCTCACTGGGAGACGGACCGGGCACCACGGAACCCTCCTATAGGCCCCACGAGGCCAGTGCTTGGGACAGGCCTGAAGCCTGGAGTGTGGGGGTGCAGGGGCTCAGGGGGCACAGGGACCGTGGTGGCGAGTTCGGGGTTCAGTATAGCGAGCTGCACAGAGCTCTTGGGGGCAGTCGGGCCCCTGCCCTTGAGGTCTGTGCCCTGCATTTCCTGCTGCTCGGGGACAGGCTCGGGCGCGAGGACGGAGGCCGCCCTGCTCTGAATGGCAAAGGACAGAGGTGCCACGGGACAGATGCCGACAAGGGAGGACAGCGCGGGGTCACCTGGTGTCAACGTGGCCGGGTCGTGGTGCCCAGCGATTTGGTCAAACATTGTTCGGGATGTTTCTGTGAAGGTGACCTTTCGGTGTGATTGACGTTTCCAATCAGCAGACTTGGACTTCGGCGGATCTCCCTCCGTGTCACGGGTGGGCCTCATCCGGGGACGTGAACCTTAAGAGGAAGACTGAGGTTTCCGAGGACGAAGGACTTCGGCCTCCCGGCGGCCTCAGACTGGACCGCAGCATCCGCTTCCCCGCGCTCCAGCCTGCAGAACCCACAGCCACGTGAGCCGATCCCTCCACATAAATCTCTCTCGGTGGGTGGGTGGGTGGGTAGAAACATAGGTACATACGTACATACGTAGATACACAGACACACTATGTCTCTGGAGAACCCCGAGAACACAGGCAGCTTCGGAAAAGTCTTCCTGGAGAGAGGCCCCCGAGGGGCTGTGCGCCCGGCGGGGGGGTGACCGTCGGGTGTGCAGGGAGGAGGCGGCTGAGGGGTAGGTGTGCGGGCCCTGGGTGAGGGCCGAGTTGCAGCGATTAGTGAAGGAAGGAGGACAGGGGCCCGAACCCCGAGGGGTCACAGCCCTGCAGTGTGACCCGCAGCCTGGAGCAGGTTGTCCAGGTGGAAGGGGTGCCCCCGGACTTGGATCGTGATCTTAAGTATGGACGGGTACTAGGGCGAGGGAGAGGAGAAGGCAGCGGAGATTGTCCCCATCTGCTCCCCCTAGAACAAGGCGAGTCACCGGGAGACGGAGCTGCCTGGGTTCGGCCCTGTGGGCTGTGTCCAAGGACCATGCACTGGCAGCTTCGAACAGGGTCGCTCTCGCGGTGTGAAGGCCAGAAGCCTTGGCCAGCCTCCCGGGACGCATCAGGGGCTGCGGGCGGGGCCTTCAGGGGCTCCAGGGCCGAATCCCTTCCCCTGCCTTTTCCAGCTTGGAGGCCTGTGTCCTGGGGTGTGCTCCCTCCTCTCTGGCTCCCCCCGCCTCCCCCATAGGGACCCCTGCGATTCCATGGAACCCACTGGGCCGGGTCATCTCATCTCAAAGTCCTCAACCTGATCTGCGAGCCCTCTTCGCCCTGTGAGGTCACGTGGTCACAGGTTTGGGGGTCAGAGCATGGGTGTCCTTGGGGGCACGAGTCCACCTCCACATTGCCCTCTGTCGGCAAGGAGAATGTTAGGGTGAGGACAGGACCAGTCGGGGGCCCAGAGCGTGTGCGGTGCCAGTGGGCTGGACAGCAGGGAGAGGCGTCCCCGAGGAGCCTGGGCATCTGGGCGAAGTCAGGACAAGGGCAGGGGAGGGACGGAGATGGGGAGGGCGCGGGCTGGCGCCTGGCTAGCAGGGCACGGAAGCCAGGGCAGGTGGACAGGGAGACAAGGAATCCTGGAGCCCCAGCACCAGGTGGCGGGATGGACCTGGCACTGGGGACGGTACCCCAAGGAGGCTCTGGGGAGGTGGCTGGACTCGGGGAGGCTTGCGGGGCTGCAGGGGAGGCCACGGTGCTGGCTTGGTGGGCTGGGCCCAGGACGGGGTGGGTTCCTGGCTGGTGGGCCTCCGTCGGCTGGCCGGGCCGGCTGGTGGCATGTGTCAGGGCAGGCCTGGGCGTCAGGAATTGGGCAGCGGCTTCACCGGAGCGCTTCCGGGCCCTCCCCGTGCCCTCAAAACAAAGGTGACTTGTCCTGGGCCGCTGGAGGCCGGTGAGGTGAAGGCACCACCCAAACCTCTGCTCTCACCTCAGCCCAGGTGTGGCCACAGCTCCCCGCCCCTCCCCCACTGCAGCCCACGCAGGGCCAGCCTTCCTGGGGGACCTGGCCCTCTCCCCTCCGTGCCCCTCAGTCACCCAGAGAGGTCCTTGCAGAGCAGCGGGGAAGAGGCCCCACACTGCCGCAGAAGGCAGGACCACCGTGACCTTGGCACGACCTCACAGGATGCGTGCGGAGGTGGGTCCGGGGGAGCCCAGGGGAGGCCTCACCCTCCTGTCCCGGGAGAACCTGCTCCGCCTCAGCCCGGAAGAGACCTTATCGGTCTCCCCACAGCCCCACCCTCCGCCCACGGCCAGAGGGCCGTGCAGGGCCTGTTCCCAGGGTGGGCCAGCTGGCGGTCAGCACCCACCTGCTCCCCGGGCTGCCGGCCCCTCCCAGGCAGCTGGACAGACGGGTCTGGGGCTGCAACGCCCCTCTCTTTGCAGCGGTGACTCAGAGGGGCAGGGAGAGTGGGAGTGGGTGGGGCCGGTGGCCCCTGTGGCCCCTGAACAGTCCCCTGACTCCCGCAGGGCCCCTGGGGGGACTGTTCAGGAAACTCGTGCCCCTGGTGGTGAGCTGAGGGGCAGGGATCAGGCAGAGCCCGGGCAGCCAGAGCTGGCTGCACCCCGTCCTGCCTGCGACTCGGGCTGTCCCCTTACGTCGATGCTTTGCCGCTGGCGGGAACGTGGCTCTGAAGACAGACAGACCCCCCGCTGCAGCGTGTCAGCCAGCCCCGCCGCCTCTCTAAGCCTCAGGGTCTCGTCTGTAAAATGGGAACGTGAGATGCTCTTCCTGGCGGGGTCACGGTGGCAGATGGTCCCTCTGTGACCCACCCGCTGTCCCTGCTGACTGCTCGGTGCTTGTAGCTTAGGAAGCCGGAGAGCTTCGCCTGCACCGGCCGCAGGCTGAGGGAACCCCGGGGACCCCCAGAGGGTGGGAGAGGCCTGGGCCCACTCAGCACAGGAGGCCGTGAGAGCGGGAGCTGGGGGTGGAGGGGGCCCGGGGCAAGGCCCCCAGCACAGCAGGGCAGGGGGTCTCCTGTAGAACCGAGGGTGCGCAGATGGAGGGGTGCAGACCTGGAGGCTGGCCGGAGGTCGAGGCAGGTGGGGAGGAGCCTTGAGTGCCGAGGTCAGGGGCTGAGTCGGTTTCACAGGCAGTGTCGGGGGCATTGACTGTCAGGAGGCAGCCCCCTCTGGGCCCAGCCCCTCCCTCACTGGTCTACTCCGAGCTCCGGGACGGTGGGTGCCCCTATGGGGGGCCTGGAGGGGGGTAGGAGGGGGCCCTGGGCAGCCACCTGCTCCTCCTCCACGTGGGCTGGTCCTGAGGCTCCCAGCAGTGCTCTCGGGGACCTGGTGCCAGCTAGGGAGCAGGCTCTGCACCCCCAACCGGAGTCTTGTCTCCAGAGCAGGAATCGGGGGGCCTGTCCCGCCCCCACCAGGAGGAGGTGTCGGTGTGCCGCCCCCTGAGGGCCAGGCACTCTTTGGGCACTGGGGACCCGTGATGAGCAGAAGAGACACAAATCCCTGCCCTCCAGGGGGACAGACACGGGAGGGGGGGGCGTTATGGGCCCTGAAAGTGACAGTGTCAGGGACAGTGACTTTAGGAGCATTCGAGGGCGAGGGGCACAAAACGCTGGCTGGGCCCCAGCAAAACTCAGGACGATGACCTGGGGAGGAGGGAGACTCCTGGCCATGGGACAGGCGAAGGGACAGGCGGGGAGGGGAGGCCCCCGAGTGAGCAGACAGTGGGGCCGGCCGACGGGGGGGGGTGGGGGGGGGTCAGGCTGGCTCAGCAGAGATGCGGGGGAGGGAGCTGGCGCCCGCCGTCCCCCACTCCCCAGGTGGCTGGGAGGGAGCGGAGGATGGTGGTCCCGGGCAGAGCCTGCAGGAGGCAGACCAGAGCAGTGGGGCGGAACGGAGGCAGAGGAGGGCACCCAGGTGACTGCCGGCCGCTGGCACTGGGGCGGGCCCCTCCTCCCCCAGCTCTGTGTGCGGGGACCTCGGGGACCGCGGGGCCCAGGCCCTGCTGATCTCGGAGCACGTGATGGCGGCCGGTCAGCGGTCAGCAGGCTTCCCAGTGACTTCCTTCCCCAAACGACACGCTTGCTGCCTGTGTGTCCGGTTGTCATGTGAGCCTGGCCTTGGCCTCCAGGTTTTATGCTCCCCGGCCTCCTGTATACCCCCCCGATCCTGGGTGAGAAGCCCTCTTCTCAGCCCAGCTGGCCCCCCAACCCTGTACCACAGGCCTGTGGCTCTCGGGGGTCAGAGGCTCTTGATGGCTCTTCAACAATGACCAGAGTTGGTCCCGGCGCTCTGGCCTGCACCCCTGCCTGGGCCTGCCCTGCCCCCAGCTGCAACCATGCCGGGGGGCCGTCACCCCATGGGGAGCGGTGGGCAGGCAAACCGCGCGGGGCCATGGCTGCACAGCCGTTCCCAGTGAGAGGGACCCTGGCGCGGGACTCAGCAGAGAGCAGGTGGCCCGCCTGGAGACCAGGGTGGGGTTGGAGGAAGTGCCGGCAGCAGGACGGAGGGTCGCCGGGAGGGCGGTGCTCCCCGGAGAGACGTCCTCCACCTCCCCCCGAGCCCTTGTCCCGTGTCACTGCTGCGGCTGTCGCTCACAGACCTGTGAGTCTGCCCGTCCTGCGTTTGCAGCAGCCCCTGCCCCGTCCCCTGGGGTGGGGCCTGGCGGAGTCCGCGATGGGCAGAGGGCTCGGGCCACGCAGAGCTTCCCCATGACAGGTGCCCTTCCGGTCGGAACTCGCCCGACTCCCCCAGGGGCGTGCATCTGGGCCAGAGAAGCCCCCTCCCCCAGCCTCCAGGTCCTCAGGGACAGAGACCCCAGCTTCTTGCTGCTGAGCCCCCCACACTCCCCCCAGACAGGAGGAAGTGGGTCGTGCCCAGTGGTGAGCGGAGTCCGGGCTCCATGCTAGAGCAAGTGTGCGTCACCCTCCTGGGGCCCTGACCCTTCAGTCTGCCTGCCCCGCTCGGTCCCTCCCAGACCCGAGCCCTTACTGGTTGAATAATCCCCCCCCCCCCCGAGAGAGCCACGTCCGTGAGGGTGAACTTTATGGGTCCGCCCGATTGGCCTCGAGGACCCAGACGCTTGGTCAGATGTTACCCTGGCGTCCCTGTGAGGGCTTCTGCAGATGGACGTCTGAATCGGTGACAGTGAAGCTGACCTCCTCCCAAGTGTGGGTGGGCCTCGTCCGATCAGTCGAAGGCCTGGGTCGACCCAAAGGCTGACCCTCCTGAGTACGAGGCAGCGCCTCTGCTGGGCTGCTGAGCTGGGACCGTGGCCCTCTGCTGCCATCGGCTCTCCTGGGCCCCAGCCTGCTGACCACATGTCCAGGGACTGTCGGCCCCATAACCATGAGGTCCAGCTCCTTGTAAAATTAACGGATAGAGATAAATAGAGCGATGGTATAGGTCGTACGTAGATAATAAATAGGTAAATAGACTGATGGACAGATAGATGGGTGATAGATGATAGATGGATGATGGACGGACGGATGACAGGTGATAGACGACAGGTAGATGACGTGTGTAGAGTCCTGGACATTCTTTGTGAAGAGCCCTGCCTAGTACAGTGTCCAATCCCAGAACCTGGACCGTGTGACCTCGCACGGCCCAGGGGCTCGGCGGAGGTGGTGGTGCGAGGGTGAGTGTCCGGGCTGCCCGGGGCCCCTCCAAGAGGGCGGCAGGAAGGTCCGGGTCGCAGAGAGTGGGGAAGGCCTTGCAGCCTTCGCAGCTGGAGGGGGCGGGGCCGAGAACCCCCCAAGAGGAACCTTGATTTCTGTCCTCGAGACCCGGCTCCCAAACCGTGGGATGATGGATCTGTTCTGTGGTCAGCCCAACATGGGTGGCATGTGTGGCCGCTGCAGCGGGGAACGGCGTCCTTGTGAGGGTCAGCCTGGGGCTTTCCCTGTTTCCTGTCCCCAGAACCTCTCCTCCCCGGCCTGCAGGACACTGGTCACGCTGCCTGCCCTTTCCTGTGCTAATCCCGGACTTGCTGTCAGCCTGAGAAATGAGGGCATGGCTGTGTCCACCGCGTCACAGTGGAATGTCACCTGGAGGGCCTCGGGTCAGGGCGTCCATCTGCCTGCCTCGGAGAGAGGCCGAACGGCTGTCCCTGGCACGGGGCGGACAGAGGCATCGACAGGCCGAGTAGCAGAGGCAGGACTTTAATCCTGGGGTCCAGCTCCCACCCGCCCCCAAAGGGTTCTGGTGGTGGTGAGTCTGCTGGCCCGTCTCCTGCCCTCACCCCTCACCCGCAGGCCAGGAACACAGCCAGGGTGCTGCCCACCTCTTGCCACCATCACCACCTCTGAAGCAGCCGCCAGGGCCAGCAGGACCCCACCCCAGCTCGAGGGACCCACTGGTTGGATTTGTGGCTCTCAGGCCGCCTGAGTGAGGAGGTAGGTGGTCCTCAGAGGACCTCAGAGGAAAGCAGTGTGTTAGCCTCCAGGGCCGCCCCTAAAATCCAGACTTGGCTTGAAACACAGACACTTGCT